ATAAATTTAAATTTGGATAATGCAAGCAAAAGAACACATCTATCGTACAACTTGATTCTGATTTCATTGTAGCAAATGAAACATATATATAGGGAAAAGTAGAGACAAAAAGAGAGCAAACAGAGAATTGCAGAACCCCCTAATGAGCATATTTAATTTTACTTCAAATCACATTATAGAACAACCAGTTGCATTGTCATCGCTAAACATGTGCCTGGTTCGTTCATCGAAAATGGTATTGTAAGGTAGCTCTGCATAGGAACCGTGAGCATGGCCATTGTAGCCATGCACGCGGTAGTTGTAGGAAGAAGGCGGGGCATAGTAAGTGCCCGGCCTGCTGTAGAATGTATCATAATAGTAATGATGCATATAGTTATGGTATTCAGGATTGTATGGATATGGCCATAGTTCAGCTCTCTTTCCAGTTTTTCTCACTGTTTTGAGGATTTTTTTCTGATCTGCCCACCCTGTTACTGTCACCTTTTGCATGTTCATGTCTATGTCAATGTTGTCCACTCCTGTGAATACCGAAAATGAAACAAAAGTATATTCAAGGGTTTTGTAACAAATCAATTACTCTATTTTTTAACAATACCAGAAGTTGTTATACAATAGTTGGAAAAAAATAGTATTTTCCCAGAAGCATGTTTCGAGTCTTGGCCAAGCACAAATTGTTAATTCTAATATTAACTAAGTATTTTCGAATTGATTAATCAAACCCCTAGTATTTCAAACTACTCTTACATTTGAGAAAACAAATTAATAGAATAAGGATAAAAAAAAAAGGATCAATTCTTCAAATCATATTAATATTTAATGAGTTAGGTCCCAAGAATTATTGGGTAATGAGAAAAATCCATTCCATATCCAAGCAATAAGCATAGAGAGTTGGAGACAGAAAAAAATTCACCAGCTGTGTGAATGACGACTTTGGTCATATGCCTATTTGGTGGATATATAATAATTTAAATTTCCAACTAAAAGTTGTAAGAAAATTATTTTATAGGAAAAGATCATTGTATAAGATATGCTTTCATATTTATTATAATTCTATTACAAAGCTGGGCAGGGTTGTCTTATAAAAAAAAATCTAAATAAAAGGTATTGTGATATACAATACTATTGAAAAATAAGGACTTAGCAACGGGCAAAATTTATAGCTAAACAACAAAAAATTTATGCTAATTTCATTTAGTTATAAGTTAGGACGGATTTTAAGAACATTCATATAGCTTAGAATCTATTTAGCTACGAATTAGCTAAAGAATACCCACAAATTCAGTAGCTAATTCTATGTTTCTAAAAAGAAATTAATACCAACCACGAAGCTTCTTGAGAGCCTTTCTTATTTTGCTTTCGCATCCTTGACAATCCATGTGCACTCTCATTTCCACAATCTAAAATGAATAATGTATAACTTATTATACGATCGTCTCGTTATATTTAAAATATTTACACAATCAAATTATATATGGTAAAATTATCGATAAATTTATATTATAAAAATTGATTATAACTAATCTGCCATCACATATTATAATAAAAATATAATTTAAATTGTTTAATTTGTATCATCATTCATAGCACTTTCCCTATTTTAAGCATTTATTTGTTAATATATAATCTCTCTTATAACGGCTACGGCGCAATATGGCAAGTCATCATGAAAAACAAAGTAGATTGTACCCCCTTTATTTTTTTTTATTATATATATAAGCTCAATTTTTTTTTAGCTTAACATTATTAATTAAAAAAAGTAGAGATATTGGAGTGGAAGAGCCACTAATTAGTACATTTTCTTACTCTTTGTTGCATTCTTTTCGAGCCACTAACCTTAAAACAATTCTCCTTTTATACTCAACAGAAAAAAGAATAGCTAGTAACATGCACATAGTATTGAGTTCTCTTCTTTAGCATGACTATAGAAGTGTTCATTACTACTAGTATTATTTATCTTCATTTGACTAGAAGATACAAAGATGTTTAAAAGATAAACAGATCATACTCATGTTATATATTCATGTACCAGACTACAAGCTAGTATTATCTAATTATGTGACATTTTTAACTTCTGAAGAGAGTCAAATTGGCTAATTTTTGAACTATCGAATTTAATGATCAACTCAATATTTTAAAATATTTAAATGTTGGTAAAAAAATTCAACTAGTTCAAATTTCGGAAAACGAAAAGTCACATAAATCGACGGAGGGAGTAGTATAAAAAAACATGGTCAAAAACTTTTTTTTAGTACTAGCATTTCAAAATAGAGATTAGCTCTTTCTCATTCCTCTCTAGTCTTCAACCTCATTCATATTTTCAAATATATACCGAAGAAGAACGAGACATATCACTTTAAAGAAAAACAATAAGAAGAGGAATTTAATCATGATAACATACACATATTTATAAGAAGAGAGATAAACTCAAATAATGTTCCAATTTATTTCTCACTATACACTTATGCTACTGTAGTCCAAAAGGAGAGGAAAATATATAACATGAGTATAGAGAGAAATAAAGTGCAAAAAAGTTAGAAATCAATGTGGGATTTAAGGTGAAGCAATGGAAAACACAAACACAAAGAGGGGACGGAGCTAGAAGGCAACTTAACTTACGGCTTCGTCCTGAACTCTATATTTGTGTTATGAAATTAGTAAATATGAATATATATTAAATTTAGAATCCAATTATTAGCATTTGAAGTCGTTGTAGTATTCAGAACCCATAAATTCAAATCCTGGCTCCACGTATGCACACATAGTCTCAAAACATATAAACACACACTCATGATCGATAGCAAAATTATTATACCATATTATATATTCTTCTTTATTTTCTCCTTTAGTTATGGGGTTGTGAATGGTAATTAAGTAGCATTTAAACCAAAAAAAAAAAAGAAGAAAAAAAGACATGAGTTAAGAAGCAGACCGTCATATTGTGTGACTTTGAGACGATGGAGGAGCTACTAGCAACACAAATGTAAACTTCCTTTAGATGAAATAATTAATGTCTAAGTTTAATTCGTATTCCTTTGTGTGTCTATAGACTATACTAATATTGTGTGTTTATATACACACAAAACTTGACCTGGACAGGCATGATTATCTATTAATTGGAGCGTATACAATAAGAAAGATAAGGAAAAATATGACTAAAAATAGTACTATATATATATTTTTTTAAATGTGGTCCAACCCACAATATAATCATATTTTCTTTTCTTTTCACATTTTTATTTGACCATCTATAGGTTGTTATTAATTTTTGGAGACAAACCTTGTGCTATGAGGGCCACAAAAGTTTCAAGAAAATAATAATAAGAAGGAATGGACCATGTTAGAAAGCACACTGAAGTTGCGGCTTTGATAACTAGCTAGAGTGGGTCATTTGCATTTTTTGCCCCCATTTTGGGTTGGTTTCAAACTTTTGTCCCTCAAGATAAACGTTTTTAGGGACACAAGCTTATATTTTCGCATTAGAATATTTTGCAAGTTATGTTTCGCATTTTTTATAAATTTATGTCCTCAAGGTATGAGTTTGGTTTTTAAAGACAAAAATTAAAAATCAGCTTATTTAAAGCTTGAAGGGACAATCGTGCAATCAAATGAGCAATGAGCTAGAGTCCACTCATCTATTCAACTCCTTGTTTTGGGGAAAATTAAAGGTAGTTGCAATATATGTACTATAGAGTAATGTAATAACAAAGAAATTCATTCTGATCTTGAAAATACAACCAATCTTGTATAAGGACAGGCGTTATCGTGATAATGATTTTTAAATCAATATAATAGTCCCTTTTTATTTTAATTCCAGTAATATCATATAAATTTACTGACTTTGCCTTCTTATTTACAAGGACTATTTATTATTATCTCACCACTATCTTCTTTATGACCTGAATTTTTCAATCTTAGTTTTCGCATACTTGCGAATAATAAAGTTTGCTGAAACCATCAAAGGGATTGTTATAGTAATTAAGAATGTATAAGAAAAATCATTGAAATTGTAGGGTATTTTACTAAAATTGTCAATTTTACTTAAATGTCAAGACTAGTGTCGTATGTACATAACACTGCACACTTGATTGAGTACAAAAAAAGTTTTTGACATATTTCAAAAGGCTTGAAGTTTGCTTCGTTATTTACATGATATTGACCCCTAGCTCTAGCTGCAGCTACATCTTATAGAACCTTTTTGGTTCTTTTAATTTTGGTGTCACAATAATTAAGTAATCGAAAAGAAATAAATATTGATAGGACTGTACTCTAAACTTGATGAAAATTCCCAGAATATTGATCAATTATGTAAGTATGCTATAATACTAATACCTTATTTTGATGTATATACTTCAGTACCTAACTTGTGGTTTTTGACTTATTTTTGTTATTTTGACTTAAAAACAAGCGTTTAAAGTACCTTTTTTTTTAATCTCACCCAAACACTACAAAAATGCTTAAAAACACTTAATATAAGTCAATCCAAACATGTTCATAGTCAAATTAACATATAATAGGCATATAACTCCAGAAATTGGCCTACTTCCACTACTAAAAAGACATCGAATTATCCCTTGCTAATCCGTCACTAAAAACTTCTAGCTAGTTTGAAATTTTATTTAATTTATCGCTTATCCGTAACTAAATGAAATTATCATGAAATTTTTGTTGTTAAGCTACAAAATTTTGTCCGTTGTTAATTTCTTGTTTTCTAGTAATTAGTGTTCCTTAATCCAATCCAACCAAGCCAGGTACCTTGGATTAGCCTCTTGATGCAGCAGAATTGTCATCTTATTCTTGGAATGAACCAAGAAAAGGGCAGACAAATTGCATTTGATAAAACTTAGGTTTCATTGGTTTGTCCATCAAGTATTTTGTCTCTTCGCATAGTAGCACATAATAAATTCAATTTCACTCAAGCAGAGAAGCAAAAATAGTGATCAAGAACGTAACACGCGATTTTTTGATAACAAAGTCGAGATTATTCAAAGCTAGTAATAGCCATGGCAGAAAAGGAAGGAGCAATTGTCAAAAAGGGACATGAGGAAGGTTTGAAAATGGCAGTTTCCCTACTCGAAGAATTCGGACTCCCAATGGGGCTCCTCCCTCTTGCTGATGTGATCGAAGTGGGATTCGTGAAGAACACAGGCTACATGTGGATCCAGCAAAATAAAAAAATTGAACACAAGTTCAAAATGATCAGTAAAATGGTAAGTTATGACACTGAAATAAATGGATATATTGACAAGAAAAGAATCAAGAAGCTCAAGGGAGTGAAAGCTAAGGAATTGATGTTATGGCCTCCAGTTAATGAGATGACTGTAGATGATCCTCCCACTGGCAAGATTCAATTCAAGAGTCTGGCTGGCATCACCAAAACATTCCCAGTTGAAGCTTTTGCTGCTGGCCAGTAATGGAAATGGAATATATATTTTCTGATTCATGACACTTGTGTGTTTTCTATATTGTTTGCTTTCTTGGTAGAAAGATATTATTTCTTGGAACTGAGGTTTCTCGGTTTTTAAGTAAGTAAGAAACTTTGTTACCTGGTCTTCCTTTATTAGGGGCCTTAGCTAGTGATCCGGTATATAGAAATTATTGTATATGTCAAATAACATCGGAAGTGTTGGTTCTAGAAAATGAAATGTCTAATGTTTTTTCACCCAAAGAACTTGTTGTATTGTTGAGAGTAGAACGAATGGGGTGCGCTTTGGAAATCTAAATAGTTGAGTTATCGTGCTCAGTAACACTGGGTAGCCAAAGGTGAAGCAGATAATTGCTGATCAAAGTCAAAAAAGCAGGGCATTTCTCATTTTTATAGGAATTTTGTATAACAATGGTATCTCTAATTATAGCCCCAATTGAACGTTCGAAAAAAAGTTCCTATTTGTAAGCGAAGTAAATTACACTACATAAAAAATGATCATTAGCGGTAATTAATTCTTAATTGCCGCTAAATATGTATTTTAGCGGCAATTAGTCTTTGTATATGTCCCTAAAGCCTTTAGTGACATTGGTTCTAATGACACTTAACTAATGCCGGTAAAGACTTTGACACTCTTTATTAATGTCAATATTTATTGCCGCTAAAAGTTGTTTTTGTTGTAGTGTTAACCCAAGGTTAGGTATACACCAAATCCTAATTAAGGAAATTTTAAAATCAGACAAGAAAAAACCTTTTCTTATGTCATTCGATCTTCGTGGTTGAAAAATAGAAAAAGATAATAAGACATGCAGTTTCATACATGTATCTCCCCATGTATAACAAAAACATAGAAAATGCTGCCAACTATTTAGATATCCTATCTAAAAGATTCTCAATATAAATAGGAAGACGTTTTAAATACCACGCATGACTTGAGCACCATGTCTTGCACAATATCAGAATGTCAATGGTGTGATTTTGCATAGTTAAAAAAATAACTATTCTGCCAGATGTTTTGGAATCATATCTGATATGGTCAACAACAACCATAGCTTTCATTGGTTTTTCCTCAATAAATTCAGTTTCTTTCAAGCAAAAATAGTAGTAATCAAGAAGAAGCATTCTTTCTTTTGAGAATTCAAATCTATGGCAGAGAAGGAAGGAGCAATTGTCAAGAAGGGGCATGAGGAAGGTTTCAAAATGATGATTTCCCTACTCGAAGAATTCAAACTCCCACTGGGGATCTTCCCTGTTGTTGATGTGATCGAAGTGGGGTTTGTGAAGAACACAGGCTACATGTGGATCCAGCAAGCAAAAAAAGTTGAGCACAAGTTCAAGATGCTCCGCACACCGGCAAGTTATGACACTGAAATAAGTGGATATATTGACAAGAAGAGAATCAAGAAGCTCAAGGGACTGAAAGTTAACGGGCCGATAGTGTCGCATCCAGTTAATGAGATCATTGTGGATGATCCTCCCACTGGTAATATTCAATTTAAGGGGTTTGGTGGCATCAGCAAAACTCTCCCACTTGAATATTTTGTTGCTGGCCAGTAAGGGAAAAAATCAATGCATATTTTCTGATTCATGACACTAATTGTGTCTTGTATCCAATTGGTATTAATTAAGCAAAATGATCAATTCATTATTATTTGCAGTTTTTGTTTGGCATAAAAAATAAAATGTTTTGTTTTCTGATAGCAATGTCCTGTTCTTTGAGATACGCATGTATGTATTCTTGAAATTAATGCATGTTTCTTCTTCCTGAACTCTCTTCACAACGTGTTTAACGATATAATTGTTAGCAACTCCATTAAAACTATAATGGCTTGTGATCGATTTTACATCAAATACTCCATCAATAAAAAACAGTCTGCTTTCTTTCAAATATCAGTAATTAGCATTTGAAGTCATTGTAGAATTCAGAACCCATAAGTTCAAATCCTAGCACCACCTATGTGCACAGAATCTCGAAACATATAAACGGACACACTCATGATCGATAGCAAAGATTATTATACCATTTAAGTGTGGTCACATATTATCTTTTCTTTTCACATTTTTATTTGAGCATAGGTTGTTAATTTTTGGAGACAAACCTTGTGCTATGAGGGCCACAAAAGTTTCAAGAAAATAATAAGGAGGAGAATTGGGTCATGATAGAAAGCACACTGAAGTTGCGGCTTTGATAGCTAGCTAGAGTGGGTCATTTGTACTTTAATTTCTACCCTATTTTGTGTTTTGTCCGTCAGGACCAAAAACTTTTTTGTGGGACATAAGTATATTTCACATTATAATATCTCACAAAATATGTCTCGTGTCCTTAAAGAACTTGTGTTCGGCTACCTAGACATAAGTTCAATTGCTTAAGACAAAAAATAAAAACCAACTCATACAAAAGATAAAAAATAAAGATCAAATCGGGACAATGTGCAGTTAAATGCGCTAGAGTCCACACATCTATTCAGTTCCTTTTTTTTTAAGCCATCACCAGGGTTGTGAGCCCTTAGTGTGTGGGGTAGGCTTGACCCCGACCATGTCTATTCATCCAAAAAGGTACAAAGTTAGAGGGGGACATGGACCAAACCTCCAACAAGAAACCAACTACACAAAAATTTCCGAAGAAATAAAAAAAGGATTAGCCTATACAATATCTTTTCCTATAAACCAAAAGTTTTTTAGCTAACAAAAAAGTTGTTTTCTCGTATCTTCTTCGTATGGACGGATATTGTCATTTGTCCAGTTGAATTGAGCCTTTAACCTCTCTAGGAAGTTGACGATGAGAGGAGTAAAAGGTTTTGTTTCCACTAGAGGATGCCAATTTAGCAAGAAAGTTGGCTACTTGATTTGCCTCTCGCAAACAGTGAGTAATATTCACGGAAGTTCTACTATTGAATTGACTTATATCACGAATGAGCGTCTTCAGTTTCATGTTGGTAATGTTACTATATAGTTTGTAATAACAAATAAATTCATTCTAGTCTTGATAATACAACCAACCTTAGATGGCCATTATCATGATATCGAATTTTAAAACAATAGTCCCTTTTTTTAAAACTAGTTTCAGGGCATGTGCGTTGCACGTGTGTCCCAATTCTGCTAGTATATTGTTTTTAAAAGTATATTGGCTCTGCAACCAGCAGTATCAGAATCTCAAACCCTAGGTCGGCAGGCAGCAGTCATGGCTGCTACGGTCACTGGACGGCCTCATTTCGAGGCTGTCCAGCCCTCCCCACCACCCCAAACCACCACATACGCCACCTTTTTCAATTCCAATACTATAAATCCTAAACAATCTGCCCTAATTAAACTCAAAAACGATTATAAAATCAATCGAAATAATTCATGGAGAACCTACTATCACGTTTTCAATGGAGAAAGGCAAGACTTTATGATCGAAGAGGGATTACATCAAGCAATGGTGTTTAAATTATCCCATGGTGCGCCAAATTTGAATGTATTAAGGTCAATTTTTACCGAAACATACTTGGTACCAAGGGCAATTGTTTAATTGGCTTACTTGCTCCAAGACAAATTTTGTTGAGGTTTGATCTATATGAAGATTATGTACTAGCTTTATTTCGCTCAGTTAATTATCTTCTCTACAATGGAGAGGAGCACAAATGTACGGTTTTTCCATGATCCATTGGATCTAATCCTAAGGAGGAAATAATGTTAGCTATGGTTTGGATTTCTTTACCGAACTTATCTCCAGATTTGTTTGCAAAGAAGTCTATGTTGTCCATAGCATCAACAGTTGGGAAACCAATAACTACAGATAAAGCTATTCAAACCGAGTCAAGACCTAGCACGGCTAGGGTCAAGGTTATACTTGATCTAATGGAAAAGCTTCCAAATCGTATAAGGTTGCAGTTTGTG